CTTCAGGAGCTGCTTTTTGTTTGGCCATTTCCTTCTTTCGTTTTCCAGGTGCTTCTTTGACAGGCTCTTCTTCCTCCTCCTCCTCATTGTCGTCCTCCTCTTCATCGTCGTCATCCTCTTCATCATCATCCTCTTCATCTTCATCTTCAGCAGCTCTCTTGGCCTTCACAGGAACAGCTTTTACTGGAGCTTTCTTTCCTTTGGCTGGCACAATCTCCATAGGTTCTTCTTCAGAGTCATCTTCGTCCTCCTCATCATCGTCATCATCATCCTCATCCTCGTCATCCTCATCATCTGTGGCAGGAGCAGCACCAAAAGCAGCAGCTGCCTTCCTCACTGCTGGTTCATCCTCCTCTTCATCTTCCTCGTCTTCCTCTTCACTGTCACCTTCCTCTTCTTCATCACTGTCTTCCTTCTTGGCATTCTTGCCGTTCTTTGCTCCCTTGCCTGAGGCAGCTGCTCCCTTCCTACCAGAGGTTGCCACCAATGCTTTGCCTGGGGTGGCTCCCTTTTTGCCAGGTGTTACCACTGCTTTGGCAGGTGTAACTGTCTTCTTGGCCGGCATAGCTGCTGCCTTTTTGCCAGGGGTGACAACTGCTTTCTTTGCCGATGTGGCACTGCAACCTTTTTTGTTGGGGAAACCATCATCTTCTTTGCTGGAGTCGTGGTAGCCTTCTTGCCTTTTTTCTGAGGGATAACAACCTCTTCTCCACTGCTCTCATCGTCTTCATCTTCTGACATTTCCTCATCTTCACTATCTTCTTCTACCTCCTTTGGGGGAGGAGCCATTTTCTTGCAGTCACCTTGATTTTTACCGGCCTTTGCGAGCTTTACCATGATGGCGGCTTATGATGGCGGAGTGTGTGGCGCGTGAGTGGCGCAGGCGAGCCCAGAGGAGCCTAAGCACCGTCGATGGCGGCCGCTAATCCCTGAGCGCGTACGCTTGGCTGCCAGCCAGCGCTCGAGACTGAGGCGAAAGACTGAGCCTGCCCAGTAATCGCCTCTGCAAAGGCGACGACGGCACCCTCGTGACTCCGCCTCCACCAACCAGATTCCACGTCCCTCGTGTTCACCTCTTTGAAAGTTCACAACTTAAAGGTTATATGTAGGGGACGTAACTATATTGCTATAATAATAGTAATAGACTTACTATATTAGCTTCATTGTTAATGATGTTAATTTACAATGATGTTTATAATTTGTTTGTAATTTGCAATGATGTTTGTATCGTCAATGCCCTTGGCGTATAGAGATGGAGTCCTCCTCTGAAGTCGGGCAAAACTACTGCCCATAGTAAAATATTTGATCTCCTTAAACTCAGTGTTCTGCTTTCATTTCATGCACTGAGTATGAAAGTGAAAGAGGAGAGTGAGAAAGCTGGCTTAAAAACCAGCATTCAAAAAAATGAAGGTCATGGCATCCGGTCCCAGCACTTCATGGCAAATAGATGGGGAAACAATGGAAACAGTGACAGACTTTATTTTCTTGGGCTCCAGAATCACTGCAGATGGTGATTGCAGCCATGAAATTAAAAAACTCTTGCTCCTTGGAAGGAAAGTTATGACCAACCTAGACAGCATATTAAAAAGCAGAGA